CCAGCAGTTTTAATATCACTCTTGATGTATTTTTGGTTGCGGGAACTTGAGTTTAGACCGGATTCTAGGTTGGCAGTGGGATGGGGGCCACATTGTGTGTGGGGTAAATAAAAACCTGTGTTTTTATGTGCTTTTAGCTGCGTTTCTATGTAAAGCACCTTCTATTACTTTCTGGATGAAAGGTGTTTAATGAATAAATTAACAGAATGGAATCAAATCTGTGTTTGTGATGTTCAGGGACCGTTCTGGAGAGGATGGTCTTCCAATACGCCCTTATTGGAGTCGAGGGCGGATGGAGGTTGAGGGGCAACGCTGAGGCCGTGGAGATAAACGGCCCCGTGGCCATGAACGCACCACGGATGGAGCGGAACCGGGTCGGGGTGCCGGTGGCCAACAGCAGTGAGAGCCCCGAGGCTCCAACCCCACAGCTGCTGCTGGCGTTTGAAGAGGTGAGGGGCACCGTTTGTCTATTCCTGTCATCATGTCGTCATCTCGCTTTAATCCCCGTTTAGTTTAAGGCATTAGCAGCGTGGTACATCTGGACTTTGAGGCCCTTGAGGGCCTTTTTCGCGTCATATATTCAAAGGAAAGGATAACCGTGCAAACAAGACCAAAAGAAAGGCGGAAAAATGTTTTTTTTTATGACGAACTTTTCTAGAAATGATAGCAAGACATGTCAAAAACTCCTGTTTTAATTGGGAGATCTGTTGTGTTGTATTTTTTCCCCGTTTACAGCCTGAGAACTTTATGACTTAATGGTCATGTGAGATGTAACAAGGCCTTTCCCCCCTAGAAAAATATCCGCGCTTACCTTTATCGCACTCCCTAATCTATAGTCTAAAAAAATATCTGTAAATGTATTTTTTCCTCATCATTCGGTCGTTGTTCGCTGATCGAACAGTGTTTATTAGCGTTTCCTTTTCAGTTCTCCGTATGACGCGGTGCTTTAAACAGAAATAGCTCTTCAAGGCACAGTGTAAACATTGAGATGTTGAGATTTCTGGCTCCGGTATCTCTGTTAAGAGCTGCCATGCAGACCGGAAGGCGGAAAACAATCAGGGGGCTTTGCTCTAAATGTTGTGGCCGAAAGGTAATCTGCCTTATGTTGATATTAGATCTCGTCGGGTTTAGCAGCTCCTCAGTAAAAATAGATCAGAAAGAGCACAGAGTGGAAAACACAAACATCTAAGATCTAAGTTCAAACTTTCCCCAAATGGACCTCTGGAAATGTCCATTTTCTTGCTCATCTCCGCCTTCTTTTCCAGCCGAACCGCCGTTCTGACCTCATTCGTTTAGCACCCCTTTCCCCCAAAATGTCCGATTAGCCATTTCCCCTGTGACTTGATCTCATTCTCCTGGTTTTTTGGCGTCGGCAGGTCAGCAAACCGCTGAAGGGGGAGGACGTGCAGATGAGGCTGTGGCTGAAAAACGACAGCCCCCAGCTCAGGGATCTGTCCTTCACGCTCAGCGTCCAGGCCATGCGCTACAACGGGACCCCGGCGGGGAAGATCCAGGTGGAGGAGACCGAGAGGAAGGTGGAGCCCCACAAAGGTGAACCCCACCTCCGGAAACGATGCAGTAGGGTATTTACGAAAGTTTTAATAAAAATCTGTTGTTGTCATGAAGGTGGGTTCTTGGAGGGAGGACTCAGGTGCGGAGATGACGGAGAACAGGGTTTATTACAAGGCTGTGGAAAACTGTGAGCAAAGTATCAAAGCAATAAGTAAACAAGACTGTGGCAAAGTAACAAAATAAAGATTAACAAAAACTGTGACAAAGCTGTGGCAAAACTATGACAATGGCAAACTAACAAACTAAAGAATAACAAGACTGTGGCAAAAAGCAAACCTGGACTCACGTGGGGGTGACGAAAGACGAAACCAGAAGGACAAAACGGACGAAAACCAGACGGACGAAACGGACAAAAACGCACTGGCACAAGACAAGGGGAAACGAGGACTATTTAAACACATGAGGGAGGGGAACCCCAGGTGTACACAATAGGTAATCAAGACATGACGACACACCAGATATTCCCCCAGACGTGACAGTTATAGGTTGGAGCTTTGTGGCTGGGTCCCAATTCAAAGGCAGGTCGGATAAATAAGAAGGCAAAAGGCCATTCGGGCATTCATGAACGACCAAAATTACCTTAAAATCCATCCACAGGGAGCCAGTGCAGTGATATTAAAACTGCTGTTAGTTACTCCTGATGATAAAATCCTGTATTTGTTACATTTCTGACGAGGAAAAATGACCTTTCTCACACAGCGAGAGGGATTAAAGGTGTGTATTTTTGGTAAAATAAGCTCTCTCTTATCTCCAGGACCGATTACTAAAACTTTAGTCTTGTCCCGGTTATGCTGAAAGAAGTTTTCTCCCATGATGAACTTCTTCCTGAACTACTTCCAGGATCCAAAAATAGTTTCCACTGACGTCACGTTTTTTGCAATTTTATTTTAAAACAGAGGCGATAACAAAAATTTAAATGACATATCAAATTCACATAAAGTACATTCAAAATACACATATATATACGTAAATGTACATAAATGGGCATATGGCGCCTACAGATGCCTCGGTTGTTTTAGGGGAGGGTTTAATCGGCGTCCACCTCTTGAGACCCTCCTGTGTTTCTGTTTCCTCCCCCCAGATCTGTCCATCCCCGTCGTGGTCCCCTACTCCTCCTACCGGGACCTCATGGTGCCCAACGGAAGCATGAACTTCTCGGCCGTGGTCACGGAAAAGGGCGCCCCCGATGGCGTGTTCATGGCCGTGCACTGCGTCGCGTTGGAGAACCCGCCCATCTCGATCAAAGTCAGTGCAAAAAACACCCGGCTCAAAACACCCCCGCTACAATCCAAATCAGAATCCACTCCGAAATCAAAAATTTGCCAAGATCGGATTAGCAAAAGTCTTCTATGGTTCAAAGAGAACAAGCATCCTGATCGTTTGATTGTTGATTGTTTGCCAAGATCAGATTTGCAAAAGGCTACTATGGTTCAAAGAGAACAGGCAAAGTTGCAAATGCAACTGGAAACGTTGCCTGCGATAGATAGATTTGACAGGTCCAGTCAAACAGATGAAGAAGGAAGTTTTTCCTTGCCTGTGTCGCCTAGTGCTTGCTCATGGTGGGAGTTGTTGGGTTTCTGTTATTAACTTCAGAGTAGGGTCTGACCTGCTCTGTTTGGAAAGCGCTGTGAGACAACTGTTGTTGTGATGTGGCGCTATATAAATAAATAAAATTGAATTGAATTGAAAGAAAAAACGAGACTTTATTCCCTTTTATAAAGACGTGCTCTTGATCCAAAATGGCAGCTTTCAAGATGGCGGCCACAGTCTGAACGATAAGCCCCCACACCCAGTGCCTGTTGGGGTATTCAGATATGTCATTTTCCCCTTAGTTGCTCAAATAACATGGTGACCTTTGACTTTTGGCTCATGCTGGACATCTTGTGGGTCCTAAATACATGAGGGAATGGAATATCATGTTACAGGATGGAGTCATTTTTATTTTTTTTTAGCAAAAAGGAAGGAAAAACAGATCTGTGCATTTGATTGGGACATAGAGAAGTCCGTTTTCTTGTTTTTCTCTTCAAGAAACATCACAAATTCATTTGAAAATGTTTAAATATTTCCTTTGAAGGCTGATTTTGCCTGTAGAGAGCTGATTTTTCCTGTTGGGTCTGCAGGTGTCCAGTCCCTGCAGAGTGGGAACCGAGACCAGTGCCGAGGTGGTTTTCATGAATCCGATCGATGGGACTCTGACGGACTGCTGTCTCACCGTCTCTGGAAGTGGGCTTTTTAAAAAAGAGACCACGTTCAGGTAAGTCCAGGTGTCCGTTAGCCGGCGTTAAACAGTCACCCTCAGTCAGAAATGTTGGACAGCAGCGACCTTCCTGCTGTTTTTCTTTTAATTACGCAAACGTTTGTGAGGTTTTAGCAGTTAATTGGCCACAACGGTCCAAATGAAAACCTGTTTAATAAATTAAACAGTCTGAAATTTTTAACAGAACTGATTCTGTGATCATCCCGATTCAAATCTGGGAAAACTAAACATTGTAGTAACACGATGATCGTAACAGGAACTAACCAGAAAACCTATAAATGTGAACACTTGTGTGATTTTCTGTCTCTCAGACTTCCCGATCTGCGGCCGAACGTGAGGGTTCGTGTCAAGTTCTTCTTTGTTCCCTACAAGAGCGGCGAGAGGAGCCTCCTGATCGACTTTGACTGCTCCTCCTTCAGAGACATGAAAGAGAGCTGCTCTATCACCGTCAAACCTTAGATTCCTTTCCCTCTTTAACAAGATGTGTGAATCCCTGGCTGAGATATCAGAAAATCTTGTTTTTTTTTGTTGCACTGATACAAACTTGTCGTCTAGTTTGATGAAAGAAGGCTTTTTTCAGTATTGAATGTAATTAAAAATGCGCTTGAGTCAACAGTTGGAAATCTGGGGTCAGAAAATTGCGTCTGACTAAGTATTCTGTTGTAAATAAATGCTTGTTACCATCCTTTCGCAGTGGTTTCTGTATTCATGTGAAAAATATGTACACCCAGATATTAATATTTTGTTGTTATAGGCGATCCAAGACTTTGCTTTATGAACGAAGGGAAGAAAAAATTTGAACTTCCTTCTAATTTTTCTCAATTTTGAGACTTCTTTGCATCCTGGATGTCTCTTCTTGGACTACAAGCTTTCCTGTAGCTTTGGAAAGCTCAGTCAGCTGCTCCAGAGGGTAAAAAAAAGACCAGAAATACCAGCAGAAGTCTGTCTGGCACCCCGAAATGTTTCAAAAATCTGTTTTCAAAGCAGCAATCTCATTAGAAAATCTAAAAAACAACACACAACAGAGCTCTTTTGACTTTTAGCCGGCCTGTTTGTTCTCGTCAGGCCGTAAAAATAGACCGGAATTACTCTGAGCCACAGGATGAGAGATGTGACGGTTTAATGAGCTGTCATTAAAAAAAAAAACATTAACGCCACCTCCTCCCTGAACAGTTTGTATCACCTTCATTTTTAAAGGCCTCCCGACATGAACAGATTCCTCCAAACACATGTTTACATTCCTTAAATTCCATTTTTTCCCGCCCTTAATCCCAGTAAAGGAACTAAGTGGCTTGATTTGGAAAGATAAGCTTGATTTTCCTTTTTTTAATGCTTTAGCATGAATTATTTTGTAAATATATAAAGTTTTCCATACAGAGAGGAGTAAAAATCGGGCCAAAATTAAACGTTGTATGCCAAAATCTTTGCTGGTATTGTCCTTGTATCTTTTTTTTTTTACCAGTGATGAAACATGGGCTGTGGCTCAGGTTACAACTTCTGACTTTTTAACTCATGCCAGCTCCTCCTAGAAAAAAACTGTCTGTTGGCCGGGAGCCACTCCTTATTCCAGAGACAAAAAAAGAGGGTTGTTGGTAGTGAAACTGTCTGGTGTACTGTACTGATAATTGGGGATTATGAATCATTTGCTCATCACGATCGGCGTTAACGTCCACCCATCCCTTAGTTGCGTGCGACAAGGGTGTTGCCTTGTTCTTTGCTTTTAAATGATCCCAGACCCACTTTTCCCTGAAGAGAAATGATATTATTACCAAACCCTGTTTATCACATTTAAAATAAATAGATAAATGAATCAGGTACAACCACAAAATGCCAAAGATCTGTGATTTAAAGAAGTTCTTTTGGCCATTTTTAATGAATGTATTTTAGTTTAAATAGGTTGTTAAAACTGTGTCAGTGTGGGTTCTTATTATTTGGGGGAAAAGTCAAATAAATAAGCTAAATTATTAAACTTTGAGAGTCTTACTTAAATCCTTAATTATTTTAGATGGATCCCACGATATTTGGTGTTACAAAACTCTGTCTGTGATTGTGAGTTATGATCAAAAGCAGATATTTTAAGATACAGTAAATAAGTCATAATTATGACGTTTGAGACATTGAGATGTTTTTTTTTTTCTTCCTAACCGAGAGACAGTATTAAGTCTGAATTAGGACGTTTAACCCTAAACACAGAAGCTAATGTTTGGAGCTCAGAAGGCCTTCTAGGAGGACCTTGGGGTTTGATAGTGCTCTTTCTCGGTTACTCACACCTCCTGAATCAGAGCCAAACTCTGAATTATGTGACAGAGAGAGAGTGGCGTCTGCTGTCTGCCACCAGTGTCTCCATGGGCTGCTCTGATTGGCCGGCAGCCTTCAGGCTGAAGACGGGTTTGGCCTGCCGGGTGATAAAACTGGCCCGGGCAGAGACGCCCGTCAGAGAGTTGCCGGTTTTTCACAAACCAGGGATGACGGCAGGTGAGTGGCCCCGCCGTTTAACGGAGTCCTATTTGGCTGAGCTTCATCAATCCCACTTAGAAAACGCACTCTAGTTCCCTCTGATCATTGTTTTCTTTAGATAGAAGAGTGATAACAATACCTGTGTTCTGTGTTTAGTTCGATTGGAAAGGATGCAACCCCAACTGGGCTCATTTTGTTCTTTTTTTTAGCTTTTAGTGTCAATTGAGCCAGTTTGGATTTACAAAAAATCTACAAAAAATGTACAAAAAATCTGCAGATACTGAGGTCCTTTGCTGTAAAAATGTTCCCTCGTTAGAAAAAGTTCGTGTTTAGACATTAAGCTGTCAGTTCTGGATACAATGGTGGTCTTTTCCAGCTGTGTTCGTCCACAGGATGAAGCCCAACTGGCCTCATTTTATTCTTGTTTTTAGCTTTTAGTGTCCATTCAGCCAGTTGGGATTTACACAAAATCTGCAGATACTGAGGTCCTTTGCTGTAAAAAATGTTCCCTCGTTAGAAAAAGTTCGTGTTTAGACATTAAGATGTCAGTTCTGGATATAATGGTGGTCTTTTCCAGCTGTGTTCGTCCTATTGGTTTTTGGTTTTGTTTGGGTGTGCTTTTGCGTTTGACTTTTATGTTCATGTTTCTACATTTAGACGCTTTTATCCAAAGAGACTCACAAAGTAGACACAACGATACAGTTATTAATAATCTGACAATCAGTTTTCTGGAGGAAAACCCCCAGTCAGATTCAGAGGAGACAGGAGGAGACTTAGACTTAGACTTAGACTTCGTTTATTGTAATCGCAAAAAAAAAACACGAAGTGAATCTTGACAACGAAATGTCGATTACTTGGCTACCACCTTATTCCTACACAATAAAAATGTTTTCTATAGCTAAGAGCTAGCTATATACAGGGTAAAGCATATATACATACATATATATTGCACTGAGTTATTGCAAAAAGAAACATTAAGTTG